TATTTTTGAAAAGTTGGGATATTTTTTTATATATGGCAAAAGTTGAAGCTTTTTTTTTTTCTCCCATTTATTGTGTCTACCTATCATTGTGTCTGAGCTAAGCTATGATATAATGCGTTTGAATGCTATAATCAATTAAATGTTTGATGGCAATGATATAAACAACAACCACTATGTCCATAAATCATAGTCACGATCTAAAAAAAACTTTTCAACTCATGCGAGGTGCATTTTACGTGGCCACTGCTTTCCTCATCGCGAGTAGCATTCGCACAGCTGCTGAATCTTTCCCGATCAAGTCTGATATAAAGCAATACCATGACAAGTCGCCAGTTGGTGCTTCTGACACAAAGACGTTGCCCAGAAGATCTCTTAAAGGGAGCGGAGATCTTTTGGAAACCCCAGTGGCTGAAGAAGAGCGCGTCATTCCAACTGGAGTACTCGAGGGTGCAGGGATAGATGTGCCTGAGGCAATTTTGCGGTTAGAAAAAAGTGGTGATGGCTTGAACGAAATGGTTAAAGTCGGAAAACGTGTTGGCTCTTCCGCCACCTCGAGAGAAAAAAGAATCCAAATTCTCCAGAAGAATCACAAAGACGCTGTTGCAAAACATCAGCAAGTCTTTAACAATTATAAAAACGCAATTAAAAAAAGCAAAGCTTTGAATTTCGAGCGTGATACAGCTTTAATTAAATATAACTACGCCAAGCTTCTCAATGATTATCATTCCGCGCAAGCCGCTAAAGACGCCGAAAGTCACCGCGATCACCGCACATTCTTTAACCAACTCGATAGCGTGGTCACCACAGCCGCTGCAAACGTCAATAACGCCAAAAACGAACGAGACAAATATCTCGCCTTACTCGAAGAAACCTCAAGTCGAGCCATTGCTGCCTACCTTGCCGGAAACATGGACGAATATACGAAAATTGAAGGTATCGAAGCTGAGCTATGGAATGAGGTCGACAAAGCTCACCAAGACATCAAAGAAGCCGAAGCCTCATTCAATTCTAATGCCTGGGCTCACTCTGTCGCTCAGAAGTTTTTAGAGCTAACTACGCATAGCTATTGGAAGAACTTTTTTGCTGCTGAAATGTACAAGAACACTGTCAATGAAGCCTGGGAAACGTACAAACGTCTCGATTTTGAAGCTAAACAAGCCGCTCAAGCCGTTTTAACTGCCAAAACCAAACTAGGCGCTCAAGCCGAGAAAATCGCTTTCGTGTTTCCAGAGTTCGAAGCTGCTCAAGCCGGTAAAATATCTAAATTCGACCTAAATGTCAAAGCTACCCTGGCCGAGAAACCCACTCACGCTACCC